TCAAACACAATGCAGGAATTGACACAGTAATTTACATCCACCAAATAAGAGCAACGTTATGTTGTGTTATGTTAACTTTGACTTTAGAAAATAAGTTTAGACAAAACCTTTTATTGCTATCTCCAAATACAAATACCAAATATATGTATAAATATACATGAAACAAGAAACAATAGAACGGTTGTTTTAAGTGAATGAATCAAGAACAACATCTAAGAGGTAGCCAGTGCAGACTAATCTGTGCTAATCGATATTTTTGCCCATGCTAGCTGCGTGGCTCTAGGGATGGCAATGTCCGTTGTTCAGTCTGTCCACCACTTTGATGACTATGTGTAACGTAAAACGTGTCGCTCTTAGTGACAATCTCCCAGAGAATTATCAATTAGTTACTTTCTTAACTTCTGTAATTCACCAATATGTGAATGCTCCCAAGTTTTAACATCAGTACATCTTGCTTTTCCCGTTCTGCTGACATGGCATAGTACAGGTGAAGCTGAGCAGCACAGTTCTTAAACTGACCTTTTGCCTTTTGCTCTTGGGAATCAATAGTGTCAAGGAGAAAAAAAAAACTCTTCATGGTTTTTCTAGGACAACGAGACAGCCAATTTCCAGGCCATTTCACACCTTCTGTGAAAGTGGTTGACCGCCTGTGCTCCCAGTGTGCACTCTGGCTCCAGCAGCACAGTGATGGCAGGTACAGGAAATCTTCCGCCGTTGAATAGAAATGGATTTTTTCTAGGGGGATGTCAAAAGTGGAAGACCATGACCCTGAGAGGTGAAGAGGATTAATTTCATCTGGCCAGCATACTGGTATCACTTCTCCCTGTGATAGTCACAGCTCTTAATGGAGCCTGTAAAGTGTAATATCTGTTCCAGGAGGTTCTCCTCTTGTCATCTCTCAGTCCTGTTTTTGCAGCATCCATCCTGGATTTACTGTATACATACATACATAAATGAATAATTACATGGGAACTTTTGTTATGGTTTAAAAATGCTTTAAACTGTTACATATTGATGTAATTTGGGGATTTGCTGTTTTGACTGCTGTATCGTTTCAGGTCAGCTTTAGTACAATGGATACCTGCAGATACAGCAGCCTGAGCCCACGTCTTTGAGCTGAAATGCAGACTAACTGTTAACGTTGGAGCTGCAAGCTCCTGACGCTCTATTAACTAAAACCAGATCAGTGTCTTGGGACAACATCTAACATTGCTAGGTGTGAATTTGAGCATGGTGCAGCGGTGACTGGGTGGCTACCAGGCTCTCTCCTGTCATGCTGACACAAAAGCACTGATATATGAGTGAATTAGGTCAACAGTGGTCTTGGTCAATACATGTTTGGCTAGAGCTTACAGTGATGGCTGCTTAATAATGTTCTGAGTTACATTTTAACTTAAAACCATTACCAGTGTTTAACAGAGAAAAAGAAATCAACTTTGTTTTAAAGCAGCCGCAATCAATATTTTTAGATTAACAATGGATCACATGACTACTTGTAGGTGAAAGGGGTCACTAGCCGTGATGAAGCTGCAACAAATGATTATCCTACTGCAGTTCCTGTCAGCTCCTCAGACCTTTATAACATCTTTCAGCTTGTTGTTTTGGTGTTCTGTCCCTTTGATAGTATCATTTCTGGCTGCAGCAGGCAGCTGTTTTAAGTGAAAAAATGGACTGTGCTCTACCCGCCCAGCACCAACCAGCAGACAGACAAGGTTAGCAACTAGCTGCATTTAGAGGCTAAAGAGCCAAATGTTTCCCTCAGGAGTTGGTGGAGACCAAAAACTGAGCTAAAAGGAGAGTCCATCCATCGTCAACCGCTTATCCTGTGTACAGGGTCGCGGGGGGCTGGAGCCAATCCCAGCTGACATCGGGCAAAAGGTGGGGTACACCCTGGACAGGTCGCCAGTCCATCACAGGGCCACACTTAGACAAACAACCACTCACGCCCACACCTAAGGAAAATTTAGGGTCACCAATTTATCTAGTCTGCATGTCTTTGGATGGTGGAAAGAAGCTGGAGCACCTGGAGAGAACCCAAGCAGACACAGGGAGAACATGCAAACTCCACGCAGAAAGGCCGGGGCAACCGGGGTTTGAACCCTCAACCTTCATGCTGGGAGGCAACAGTGCTAACCACTGCATCACCATGCCGCCCACTAAAAGGAGAGTAAACATTGGAATTCCATTTTAGCATTTGGAAGGTGGAGGTCTTAAGTTCTTCTGGGCTTATGTGCACTATAACATTGACAAAGCAGACCATAACTGTAGTCTGAGGTACACTGGAAAGCAAACTGTCCAGAACCTGGACCCCAATGCATCCTCACTGTGTGTTATCTGTGCTGAGCTGTCTACTTGTGATGGGATCAACTAAACCAATTTACTTCAGAGTGTGCTCCTTAGAGATAAGTTATGGTACACTTGAACCATGCCTTTGTGTGTGTGTGTGTGTGTGTGTCCAGAGTGTGTACAAGATATTTAAAGCAATTGTTTTGGGAGCAACATTTTTGGTGACCCGATCCAAACACTGAGGGTCTTGATTCAAATCTATAATGTTGATCAACTTAAACTGGTGATATGATATTTAACATTTAGCATGGAGAATTTGACTCCTGAAATTGACATGACACAATTGGCTAGAGAGAGGACGCATCACTCTGTTGGAGATGTTGGGACTACAGATGCATTCACTGTTATACAACTCCTACTGGGGAGCCCAGCTGTCAATAAGAAAAGAAGACCTTCAATGCTAGCAGGGTGATATGGACACAACAGTAGAGTAGGCTACATTACAGAAAGGGTCAGATTTTGATTGGCTTCATTTTCGCCGATACCTACCCATTAACATAAGCTTAGAGCAGCCACACCGTGTGAGCTCAGGCGTGACTGCAGCGATCATCTAATGAGTTGGTCTCATGCCCATTTTTCAGTTCTCAGGTAAAATAAACAGAGAAAATTATCTCTTCATCATCATATGGACCTCATACCAGCAACATTATACCTATCACTACATTTTCAATGCCCATATCTATAGAATATGTCACAGACATAAAAGTATAAACATTTACCCAACATTTACCTGTATCCATTTGCCTTCTAGTGTTTCTGTGGAGAGAATCCATTCATTTGTTAACAAGGCTTTTAATGCAGTGAAGGAGTGCTGCAGCAGCAACTCTGTCTGTCTGGACACCACACATGTTCAATCTGCAGCAGTTCAGCAAAGTAGGCCTGTGTCACTCACAGGTAGAGGTAGGTGGTGTGGCCCTATAGGTGCATGTATGGATTCTGTTACCTTTGAACAGAGCTAGGTTAGCTGTTTTGTCCTGTTGCCATTGTCTTTTTTGTCATATTAACCGTAAAGACATGTGGTATCAGTCTTCTTGGCAAGAAAGTGAAAAACCTATTTCCTAAAATGTCCACGTATTCCTTTAAAACATGTCATCGTGTAAAGCCGTTGTTCCTTTAGAGACTTTAAATGAGAGAGTCCAGAGTTCTGTCTCACATTACAAGACATCTCCAGACAGACGGTGCCAACTTACTCAAATCCGCTGATTCAGCACAGACAAGATTTTGGGATGGCCAGTTTAGGCACAACACTGGGCTGAAAGTAATTTAGTGTGATGTTATCACAGCAGGGATGGAGCCCTGCTCAGGAGAGCTGTCTGCCGGACTCCTATCTGAAGAACAGTGTGCTGATAGCCAGGAGTGGATGTCAGCACTGATGATATACCAGGAAGGACCGCTGCCCTGCTCTGAGTGCAAAGTCCAAAAACATGATATAATATTTAATCAAATCAGTTCCCTTTCCCATTCTTAAGTAAATGTTTAAATATGTTTTGCGTTTGACCAAAAGCAGATCTAAAATGTCTTTTCCCCCCAGGGTTTTACGTTTGAGTTTGTTGGTGGCACCTTTTTTTTTCTTCATCCATGGAGCTGTCACCTTCCATGCTAATGGCCATTTTTTTCCTGTTCATCATTGCAAACTGCTGTTGATGGAAATTGGATGGAAACTGCGCTTACGCTTCAACAGACACTTCAACTCAAATGTCTCTCAGTTTATACACTTTACAGGACACTTAAAGGACAATAATACCTGTCCCCAACACTTTGACTGACATTTCCACTGCTTTCAGTGCCCAACACCGTTGAATCTCCAGCTCTTTTCAGCACTTTCACTTGAGCTGACACCAACTCCACTATGATTACACTCAAACTGACACTTCAACGCTACTGTCTATGTTTGTATTTGGTCTGCCACTTCAACTACAATTTTAACTTTAGCAAATGTTTCATCCATGAATTTTCAGCAGCGAGCACATTTACCTTCTCCATAGAAAATTCATTTTTTTCCGGTTTCCGGTTAAATTTGGTTCTCCACTGAGTTCTCTATTAATATGTAAAATCTAACAAACTACATCTATCATCCATTCTTCCATGCGTGTTGTTGTTGAATCAAGCATTTTCCCTCTCAATAGGACACCTGAACAGTTGAAATGTGCTGCTGTGCGGATCATTGTGCATGTGTGTTTATTGAGATTTCTATTGAAATTGTAAGTGATTATGCACCACGCAGACTGAGAGAGTAAAACATATGAAATTCTATTAACGTAACACACACACACACACACACACACACACAAATAAACCCATTACACATGAAAAAATAATCACAGAATAAGCAATTTAACTGTAGACATGACATAGGCCTACCAAGAGTCAAAAAAGATGACTGTGGTCTCTCAGCTCAAATGCAGTATTTCTCATATGTGAAATAAAACAAACCCAAATAAGCTTTCCCCTCTGTCAGTGAGAACCTAGATCTGCCTTTTGCAGATGGAGCTAAAAGTGGCCATATTAGGGCAGAAATCCAGAGTCTGGCAATAGGGGCAAAAAAGGGTCCACACGTGCACACATACATGCACACAGAGAGAGTGACAGTTTGCAGTCCTTCCTACCTTGAGTGTGGTACCTACTTAACACCCCACACACACACACACACACCCTCCTCCGCCTCGCCTGGGCAACTCTCTAAACGCATCCTCAGGGAACACTCTCTCTCACATACACACGCACACACACACATACGCATTAACGCGCGCGAGCACACACGCACGGACGCTCATATAGGAGGATCCCAGCAGAGAAGCGGGCAGTGAACGACGGAGCGCGCACCGGCCAAGCTCGTTAACTTCTCCGCTTCCTATCCCCCCTCCTAATTTTCGGGCAGCTTCTGCAGCAACAACAAATCGGAGTGCCGGGCAGACTACCGGATCAGAAGAGACTCCTCGAGCACTCCAGACAGCCTCAGACTGGTCGTCATCGTCTGTTTTACTCCGGAGACTGCGGATTTTACCCTTTATCTTTTCCAGTGGATACTGACAGTGCGCACCGCCTCCTCGTGATAAACAAAGTCCACGGACATTAAGTCTGCTGTTATTTGTTTTTTAGCTGGGAAATAAAATCCTCTGTCCAGCTTTCTTCTCTGCATTCCCTCCGGTTTAACTGCACCGGGCAGACTTGGAAAGAGCAACAGCCTCCACCGGCGCATCAGTGAGGTAACAGACGCGACTCTCCTGTGGCCACATTATAAAATTATAGTTCACTGTTGTGCACAGTGGGGTCTCCTGTAATATTCTAATCTAAACCAGGCCTTTCTGCAGCAACAAATAATTTCGATGGGCATCAAATTGGCCCAAAAATGAATTCCTAGATGTCATTTAGCCCGCTACAGGCAAAAATAATCATCGAGACTGTGCATGCAGGTGAGGCCTATGTCACAGTCATTTTTAGTTTGTATGTCACAAAGTGCAACAATCTGGGTGGACGATTTCACACTTTGTGCTGCCAACACGCACGCACGCACGCACGCAAACACTCACACACACCTCAATACAAGGCCATATGGAACCCACGAAGAATTACATAAAACTTACATATTCCCTCTGCACTTCCTCCTCCTCCTTCAGCTCTCTCTTTCTCTATTTCCCTCTCCTCTTTCTCTGGCCTCTCCTGACCCTGTTATAAAAATAGAAGATGCTTGTCTTATTTGTAAAATTAAAAAAACGTGTTAAGACTCACATTTACAACTGTATGTTGTTAAGAGTTACACTGTTTATTCAGTGTAATTAAGTCATGCCAAGTACACAACATTTAATATTCCAAAATTAAATAATATCAATGCAAACTGCTATTTGCAAGTCCAAATAGGTTACAGCCATGGACGTTATGCGACAAGGGGCCCCTGGCACAGACATATAAAAGCCCCCCCCCCAACCCTCCTGCATAGGAAACATCACACCCAGAGTAAAAGAGACACTAAATGTATGCTTCATTTCTGGTCATTTTGCATCTCTTTGTGGTTCTTCTGTCTTTTAGTCAATTGACACCTCTTTGTAGTTGTTTTGAGTCTCTGTAGTCGTTTTGTCTTTGAAGTCGTTTTGTGCGTCTTTGTGGTCATTTTGCGTCTCTGTGTGGTCACCTTGTGTGTCTTTGTGGTCGTTTTGCATCTGTTTATAGCCGTTTTGTGTCTCTTTGTGGTTGGTTTTTGTCTCTTTGGTGTCGTTTTGCATCTCTTTGTAGTCTTTTTGCCTATCTCTGTGCTCATTTGATTGACTTTCCAACATGCCATTGAAGGGTAGGCCCATTCAGCAATCCATCCATGATACTAACGAGCATACTGCCTAGTACCTTCTGACCCTCAGGCCCCACCCCTGGCCCTGAAGATTGGGCTCCTCACAATAACGAAACAGTCGGGCAGATATATAACAACTGACCTTAGCGTGTCCTGACAAACACAAAAACATTTACTCCACCCAGTCCAGCTCTAGCCTATTGATCAGATCTGATCGACTGAACATTTCCCCCTTTAGGCAGGGCCGTGCTGGTGTGATATCAGCTGGACTGGTCCCAGTCGCTTCAGAGCTCATTGACTTGCAGAGCAGATCAGCTGGTTGTAAAAGCTCAAACATATTCTGTCAGCATCTGGCATTTATTATCCTCAGCAGCATCTCCCCCTCAGTTTAACAGCAAGGAGTCTCTTCTTTCTATCTTAGTGTCCACACTCAGTTGGTCAGAGGAGCTCTGCCTGTTCCTTTCTATTTTTAGTCTCTATTTACAATGCAGTAGCTATAGAGGCAAGAATAGTCTCCCACTCTGTTTCCCTTCATCTGTCTCTTAGCCTTGTATCTCTCCTTCTTTTTGTCTATACCACTCACTTTTTTAAATGTCACTTCCACCTTTGGTTTTCTCTTCTAGCTGCGATCTCATCCATCATCATAGATGCCAGACAGAGCGGTTCAACACATTAAGCAGTGGTAGCAGCTTACCTCAAACTGCCACCTGCTCCACTTACATGCAAACAGACACTATATAGACTGTGTGAGACTGGGAAGACAGCAGAGGAGAGAGGGGGTAGAGGTTAATCTCTGGATGCTTTTGACCCAAATCACCATGCAACCTACATACCCTCTCCTAAAACAACCACCCCACAGTTGCCACCACACACCCACACACTTTTAAAAAAACACACACAAAATGATGAATTAGATGTTGAGCCACACTATGATTGAACAACAAATTTCCGAGGCCTGGTGAGTTATTTATGACCTGTGACAAAACACGCCGGAGCTGCAGAAGAAGAAGACGTTTCATTAGAAGAATAGTTTTTAATAAAGCAAATGTAATTACCGTGCTCTTCTTCCTCGTCCATACCTGAGCACAATCTTGAGGCACACCTGACCCCCCTTGATGGCAAAAGTGTCCCAGTTTAGATTTGCAGCTCAATATCCGCCACAGTAACCACTGCATACACACCCGAGCCTCAACCAAACACCACACACTGCTGCTCGGCGTCGTCATATGCTCATTCAGCATATGTAGACACCCAATCAAATGCTACACTACACATTTTTATTAACACCGCTCGCAGTGCATCTCCACTGTGTATCCCTGTAAAACACATTAACATGGGAGTTGAAAGCCAGTAAGCTACAGCCAATAAAACCCTCTTACTGCATCCTGTGTGAACAAGAAGCAAAGCTTTTAGTTTCTCCTGATGGCTGATGAGGGAACACCAGTGGAAAGAAGACTTCTAACATGTTTATTCTCTTCAGTACACTGAGAGAACCTTTGAGGAAGCCGATGATGTCTATGTGACAGAAAGCAGACGGGGGCTTATGAGATTGGTTTATTTACATTATTTCATCAAGGAATCACAATAAATGTGTCAATGATATATTGGTGTCTTAACAAACTACATGAGCACCTTTAAACATGAGTGCTATATTACTTTGGAAGTTTTTTTTTCAGTAACAACCATAATTGGACATGACTAACCTGGCCGGGCAACAAAGAGAACAGAGAAGAGAGATTGCTAATGTGTGGAGTAAAGGATTAACTGTTGGAAATTTGTGAAAATGGACAGGGAGCTCTTACTGAGGCGGCATCTGTGCAAGACAGCAGGAAACAGACGGAAAACAGATATCGGAAGCAATGAAAGGAAGAAAGTGAGATACTGTAGTGAGGGAAACCCGACTCAACTAATCCTTTTGATTTAAACCTCACAGAACAACGGTACTCTTTCCATGATTTCAGTTTTTATAAATAAAATGTTTATATTGAGTGGAAAGGCTTAACATTTGCTCAGGTTTTAATTAGCTGTGTGTGTGGCTGAGATGCAGAAGATAAGCATATGTTCATGGGTGGTATTGAGCAAATGGTAATTTGAGAAGGAGACAGGACAATGGAAAAGGTACATGATGGAGAGAGAAGAGAATGGGGAGAATATAATGAAAACAGGCAGGTAGATAGATGAGTTAGAGGAGAAAAAGGAGGGACAGCATGATCAAAAATGTCGCTTTGATTTAATGTATTCATACTAACTAACTAACTAACTAATATAACTACATAAGCCTTCTTTTATAGCCTAGTATTGTAATTACAGTTGTTTAATCACAGATTATAGAAATATCATTATTTATAAAAATGAATAATGTCAAATAATTTCAAGTTTTATGGTCCTTGTTGAAGACACATGTTACATCTGAATTTCTGTTACAAACACAAATTTTATAGGAGACAGTCAACTTACATTGACACCAAAATTACCTCTGTTTCACCATGCTTGTACAGAACAATGAGAAATGGATTGTGTGCTCCAAGATGGTGGCACATACGTAAAGACGTTCTTCAGACTTCGGACAGCTTCTTATGGATGTTTTGAGCCTTCTTCTGAGCTCACATGGCATGCAACATATTTTATAATTCATTTTCATTCAATGTCCTCTCTAAGCAACTAAAGCATGATAAAATTATTGTATAGTTATGTTGAGCACTTGATTAAGATCAGGTTCAGTCCTGGCTCACTTCTGAAGTCAACAGTGACTTCGTCCAGGGGCACAAGACGTGGTGTGTTTACTTTAACTTAAACCACATCTTTCACTAACCCAAAGTGCTTTTGTTGCCTAAATCCAACCACACATGGTATGCAGGATGTGAATACGGTCTCTACTGCCAAAGTCTTTTGCTTTGTATGTCAACCTTCAGTTTACCTTCAAGGTTGCCTGTGAACATAAGCCAGGCAGCCATTGTTCACTAACCCCGCCCCAGTTACTGTTGCTACACCTGTCAAGCTGTCTGTTCTAACATTGACAACAATGTTTAACTTTTTTAAAATCACAAAGGTTGCATTTTCTAAAAGCTACCAACCAAAGTTGTAGATGGGGATTTCTCTGACGTATGTGAAGTAAACCTCATACTACCAAAACTACTGGACATGACACCATGACTTCGTATCTCTATATGCAAAGTACAATGATGGTGGCATATTTTCCAATTACAATAATTGATCCTGGAGGTCAGACAGAGGTAGACAAAAGCAGGCTTCTCATTTCTAACTGGCAATAGTTGATTTTGTTATATCGACTACAAATGTCGCTAGTTTATCCGCTGTAGCTAGCTAAAGCTAGCTTCATGAGTAGGGTGAAAATGCTGCCTCCAGCTGACTTTTTAATGTTTTAAGTTGACTCATTTTAAAATGAGAACTCTGTCAAGAGGTCTGTAATATGCTATGTCATGGCTACTTACATGATATCCTGCTAATAGACTGAGGTGAAAGCTGCAGTAACGTAATATTAAATCAATGTAGTTGATTCAGAGAGTTTGATTTTGTTTTTTCTGGCAGCTGTATGCGGTGTACCATCACCCACCACCTTTGTATTCTTATCTCAGTCTACCCCAAAACTTGGTGCATCCCTCTTTCAGAAAGATCACGACAGATACTGAGGCAGAGACAGTGTGGAAAAAAAGGGCGAGAATGAGATGAATTAGAAAAAAAATGAAAAGGGCGGTAGACAAACAGAGACACTGGCAGAGAAGAAGCGAGAACAGGAGACAGGAAAGGTGGTGGGGAAAGAGATAGATTGAGTAGACAAATAGAAGTGAAAGTGGGAAAGAGGGAGAGATGGGATAACTGGGATGAAGGAGATGGTGAGTGATAGTTAGAAAGAGGAAAGCATTCAGTCCTCCTGTTGTCTTAGAGGATGCCCTGAAACCTGATCTCAGCCAGGACATCTCTCTGCCTCTCTCTGCCTCTCTGTTGGTACGACACAACATTTGTCATGTAGCCTAATATTGCGCCTGGCGTTTCCCTCATAGTCACACACATACACACACCTCACTATGTCATTAGAAATTTATCTCTGTATTTCTAAATGCTCGTATGGCTCTCACTTTTTATGAACCAAGACCTTTTCTTGTGTCTTAATTGCTGTCGTATGTGACCAAGACTTTCAAACAAAAATAAAGGAGCTTGGTGTTGAAATCAGCAATTAGCAATGCATGCCTAAGGCTTTTAGCTGTTCAGACAGATGATTGATTAGAGCTTGTTTCCAATCTTTATCTTTTATCTTTAACTTTTCACATAACAGACAGAATTCACGGTATGGAACATTGCTTTCTAATATGTGACGTCTGTAGGGAAATATTTTATGTAGATGCATGTATATTTCTTTATTATTAGATTTTTATGTTTACTGTATCTCCCCATTTGTCCAACTACTCTGCATCGCGTTAAAAATAGAAGTAGAGCGTTTCAGAGCCATTTAAATTGAAATACAACAAATGTCTATTGGATTGTTACGGTCTATGTACTTCAATAGCATCCTGACCATGCGGTGAAGTAGGTGTTGAATTCAGAGCTGCTATTTCCTGCCTCAAAATGCCCCCTCACTCACTAAACTGTCATCAAGGACTATTGCATAATATCAAGTATTATTTAATGTCCCTTAAAAATATCGTTGTTGTTTCTGTGTTGAAGCACCTCAGTGAGATCGATTCTATGTGCAGACTAGACAAGCACTCGGCTCACCCGAATCCTCAAATGACTCACACAGGCACGCACAGGCACGCACAGGCACGCACACACGCACACACACACACACTCGAGGGTACCCAAACACAAGTACACACAGAAGAGGGGAAGAGTGGGAGTTGAGAGGGTATGGTGGACACAGAGCGTGGGTGGGCAGTGAGAGAGAGAGAGGAAGGGAAAGAGCAACGGACAAAGAAAAAGACGCAGCGGAAGAGACAATATTGCTGTGGAGAGTTGACCACTGGCCTGTTTGGCTTTCTTGGTATTATCCTGAGTTACAAATTCAAGTCCAATTATGAATTATTTGTAAATAACTGATAAAGCATTTTACTGAATTTAACATGAGACAGAGGTACAAACTGCATGGCCCAAAATACATTACACCCTTCCTTTCACTGTAACCCTTCACAACCAAGTGTGTGCCTCATTGGGTTATGTAAAATCCTAAATATACTGTGCTTTAAAGGAATATTTTAACATTTTATTCACCTTATTTTTGTGAGTGAAATGAGAAGATCGCTACATACAAGCCCTTGCCGAATAGTTCACATAATGCGGTTTTGTGCCTGGTTTACCAGAGCTGAAGGGGGGAGTCTAGATGATTGTTTTTTCCCCCTATAGCAGAATGGTAATGGGTTCAGTCAGACCTGAGAGAGGTCTGGCTATACAAGACCAATACATGTTTAGCCTAGCTTAGCATAAAGACTGAAAATAAGGGGAAAACAGGTAAATTTGCTAGGTCCAAAGTAAAAAAAAAATGGTGACATGACGTTGGGAAGCTGTGCTGCTCTTGGAATAGTTTCAGCAAGTAATTCACCATAAAACATTTTTTTTCCTCATTTGTGTTGGGTTAAACAAACGTATTTGTGAGATTTAGACTTGCTGCAAGGCGTATTATTTCACTATGGACAAAGCCAAGCTAGCTGGTTGCCATCTCTCCGGTCTTTATCTTAAGCTAGGCTAACCACATCTGGACTCTAGCTCCTCGTACACAGCGGTGATATCAATCTTCTTGTGTCACTCATTTATACTCAAAAAAAGTGAATAAGCGTTGTGGAAGTAAATGTGGAAATATTCATTTAAGGCATTAACATCCTAAAAGGATTTTGACAAAATCTTCTGTGAATCCTTTACAGCTAACCTGAATGCCACAGTGCATTTATACAGAAGTGCAGGACTGCAGTTAAGTGTAGTTAGCAATGACTTTGACCCAGTTACGTGTATCTTTCTCCCTCTCGCCCAACACTGAAGTGTACTAGAAGGCTGAAAACATCATATAACTGTACATCGTGATTTTAGTTTCCACAAATAATCCTGTAACATTTGCAACTGCAACACAGCGTTTATTCTCTCATCAACATATATACATGGCTAAATAATATATAATGTGATGACAAATTACATGATATATGATACAATTTCATGCTCTCAACAATTTTCTCATACAATAATCAATCTTCAACTTCAATTACAGCTAATAACCTATGACATTATAAAATGCACTACAGTTCAGTCTCCATAGGATGGACTTTGTCTTGCTAATTATGGTTCGTCCTATTAAATTTGCAGTTTAGGCGAAATGCATATGACCTGTTTAAGTGCATATCACTGATGCATTAATCTCTACAGCTTGTGTCGAGGGAGTAATGATTGTATAAAAAAATCTGAACCACCCAACCAGCATAATACAGTTTTAGGGTTTTATGATTTGCCTGGAAAATCCAATCTTAAGAAGATCCAAGAAGTACTGGTGTCATAAACAGAACCGGTGCGGAAAATATATAAAGTACTTACTCACATCCTCTCTGTTACACCCTTCCTGTCAGCTGTAAATGATAGCTGCAAGTGTGTTCTACCCTCCTTACCTCACTGAGGCCATTAAATGACAAGGGCCTGCTATGTGGAAAGCATACAAACAGGATCTTTTGCATCACACAACACATGACAGTACACTGTAATGTGCTCATGTTGGAACCTCTAAAAAAGTATTCCTTGAAATAGGATGATTAAGGTTGTTTGTGCAAATCCTGGGTGTGGCATCTTGGTGAAATTCTAAATTTGCTTTCTTGCTCCACATGCCAACCTAGATGTTCAGTTGTCTCTACCAAGATTTGTTCCACTATACACCAAACCTTTTCCCCTTGTTTAAGGTACAATCCTCTCCTTACTTGCTAATTTGCTTTTATATACTCTCAATCACACATATAGTGTTCTGGTGTTTCAGCTAGTTGAGTTACGCCACAATTTTTACCCCCTACTACTACCGCTGGTTGGGAATTACTGTAATGGAGGATCACATGTGCTGTTCTTTTTCTGCTTCAGATAGCCCACAATGCAGTGGGTGTGGGGATGAGAGGGACGCCTAAACACTCATCTCACAGAGTGAAGTTTTGTGTTGGGACACCACTGCATTTCAGAGGCACACGCAATAGGATGGGGGGGGGGGTCAAGGGCAAATGGGAAGAAATGGGACGCAGCATAAGTACACGCTGTCCTTTTTCTTCTTTTTGGGCACTGAAGCAAAAAAATAATCTTTACAAGGTAACTTATTTGTAATTATACAATACATGGACTAAAGGAAGTTTATAGTCCTTTCATGCTACACATGAATTAATTAAAATATGGTAACATATAAAATAAAATAAAACAATATATACTACAGTTATTTGTATACATATCTACGTACATGTATACACCCAGAATACTAATAAGTGTTGGTCTTGAATAAACCCTTCAGGTACTAAAAATAATCTGCAGTCATGAATCTTGGTATAAAATGATCAAACTAGAGGTGACAAAATATAAGACATGAACCAACATTTGCAGAAAACTGATGTGCTGCTGTCATGTTGGTTGCAAATGTAATTAAATTTGGCATATTTATCAAAGCTGTGGAACCTTTCCTAAAGTGGAAACATGAAGCCCTGAGCACACAACAGAAGACAACTGAATGTATCCTGTGGTGTTAAGTGGGTCTGCCAGATTTGGCAGCACTTGTTTGTAACAGCCTCTATTCTCCCTTCCTGTAGGTGGAATCGCTTAGCAGCAGTTACAAATCATATGTACTTCCTGGTGTTCTTGCTGCAGGGCACAGGTGTATTGCGTGTGTCTGCCTACTATTTAACAGTGTTATGTACTGTATAAATATAACTTTGGCCTTCCTGCTGTATTCAGGTAGAAAGGCCCTACATCAAGCTGCAGCCATGGATGAGATGGACCTGCCCCAGATGAAGAAGGAGGTGGAGAGCCTCAAGTACCAGCTGGCCTTCAAACGAGAGAAGTCCTCCAAAACAGTGACTGAGTGAGTAGTTAGTTCAATAGCTCCACAAACAGCTTCACACAGGTCAAGCCCCAAAAGAACTGTGACAAGTAGCTGTGAGCTCAAAAATAAAATCGCTTTGTTTTTGATAAATACATTACACTGAAAAACATTAAAAAATGTAATTAGACACAGTGTGCAAAAATTTAAAATTTGCTCATTCAAATTTGCTACTGAAGATTTGAAGTCAACAGATTCATTACTGCATTTACAAGATAGCATTTTTAAGCAAAGCAGTAATTGGACATTTTGGGAAAAAAGAGTTAGTAACATGCATTAATGGGATGAGGTTGCATACAGAGGGAGAGAAAGTAGAGGAGAGAGGAGCTCAGTGCATCATGGGAAGTCCCCCGGCAGTCTAGGCCTATAGCAGCATAACTAAGGGATGGTTCAGGACTCACCTGAGCCAGCCCTAACTATAAGCTTTATCAAAGAGGAAAGTCTTAAGCCTACTCTTAAATGTGGAGATGGTGTCTGCCTCCTGAACACAAACTGGAACCTGGTTCCACAGGAGAGGAGCTTGATATCTGAACGCTCTGGCTCCTAGTCTACTTTTGGAGACTCTAGGAACCACAAGTAACCCTGCATTCTGGGAGCGCAGTGCTCTGGTGGGGTAGTAAGGTACTATGAGCTCTTTAAGATAAGATGGTGCCTGACCATTAAGAGCTTTGTAGGTGAGAAGAATGATTTTAAATTCTATTCTGGATTTTACTGGAAACCAATGCAGAGAAGCTAAAACAGGACAAATATGATCTCTTTTCCTGGTTCCTGTCAGAACACGTGCTGCAGCATTCTGGATCAGCTGAAGAGTCTTAATGGACTTTTTAGAGCAGCCTGATAATAAAGAATTGCAGTAATCCAGCCTAGAAGTAACAAATGCATGGACTAGTTTTTCTGCATCATTTTTAGACAGGATGTTCCTGATTTTCGCAATATTGCGTAGGTGAAAAAAGGCCGTCCTTGAAATTTGCTTAATATGAGACGAGGAGAGGACACACACCTCTTATGTCTGTGCGTTAAATATGAAGCTACAGCCAGCAGCGATTAGCATAGCTCAGCACAAAGAGAACAGACTGGAAACAGCTCAGCCAAAATCAAGAAAAACTCAAGATACAGTGCCTTGCGAAAGTATTCGGCCCCCTTGAACTTTTCGACCTTTTGCCACATTGCAGGCTTCAAACATAAAGATATAAAACTGTAATTTTTTGTGAAGAACCAACAACAAGTGGGACACAATCATGAAGTGGAACGAAATTTATTGGATATTTCAAACTTTTTTAACAAATAAAAAACTGAAAAATTGGGCGTGCAAAATTATTCAGCCCCCTTAAGTTAATACTTTGTAGCGCCACCTTTTGCTGCGATTACAGCTGTAAGTCGCTTGGGGTACGTCTCTATCAGTTTTGCACATTGAGAGACTGAAATTTTTGCCCATTCCTCCTTGCAAAACAGCTCGAGCTCAGTGAGGATGGATGGAGAGCGTTTGTGAACAGCAGTTTTCAGTTCTTTCCACAGATTCTCGATTGGATTCAGGTCTGGACTTTGACTTGGCCATTCTAACACCTGGAAATGTTTATTTGTGAACCATTCCAGTGTAGATTTTGCTTTATGTTTTGGATCATTGTCTTGTTGGAAGAAAAATCTCCGTCCCAGTCTCAGGTCTTTTGCAGACTCCATCAGGTTTTCTTCCAGAATGGTCCTGTATTTGGCTCCATCCATCTTCCCATCAATTTTAACCATCTTCCCTGTCCCTGCTGAAGAAAAGCAGGCCCAAACCATGATGCTGCCACCACCATGTTTGACAGTGGGGATGGTGTGTTCAGGGTGATGAGCTGTGTTGCCTTTACGCCAAACATAACGCTTTGCATTGTTGCCAAAAAGTTCGATTTTGGTTTCATCTGACCAGAGCACCTTCTTCCACATGTTTGGTGTGTCTCCCAGGTGGCTTGTGGCAAACTTTAAACGAGAATTTTTGTGGATCTCTTTAAGAAATGGCTTTCTTCTTGCCACTCTTCCATAAAGGCCAGATTTGTGCAGTATACGACTGATTGTTGTCCTATGGACAGAGTCTCTCACCTCAGCTGTAGATCTCTGCAGTTCATCCAGAGTGATCATGGGCCTCTTGGCTGCATCTCTGATCAGTCTTCTCCTTGTATGAGCTGAAAGTTTAGAGGGACGGCCGGGTCTTCGTAGATTTACAGTGGTCTGATACTCCTTCCATTTCAATATTATCGCTTGCAGAGTGCTCCTTGGGATGTTTAAAGCTTGTATCCAAATCCGGCTTTAAACTTCTCCACAACAGTATCTAGGACCTGCCTGGTGTGTTCCTTGTTCTTCATGATGCTCTCTGCGCTTTAAACGGACCTCTGAGACTATCACAGATCAGGTGCATTTATACGGAGACTTGATTTCACACAGGTGGATTCTATTTATCATCATTAGTCATTTAGGTCAACATTGGATCATTCAGAGATCCTCACTGAACGTCTGGAGAGAGTTTGCTGCACTGAAAGTAAAGGGGCTGAATAATTTTGCACGCCCAATTTTTCAGTTTTTTATTTGTTAAAAAAGTTTGAAATATCCAATAAATTTCGTTCCACTTCACTTTGTGTCCCAAAATTACAGTTTTATATCTTTATGTTTGAAGCCTGCAATGTGGCAAAAGGTCGAAAAGTTCAAGGGGGCCGAATACTTTCGCAAGGCACTGTATGTTGTGTTGATAGTGACTTTTAGACATAATGGATATTGTTACGTCTTGACATAGACAGGCTAGCTGTTTCAGGCTAGTTGTTCATGGTAGATTCATATTTACCGTACGGACATGTTAATTAATCACAGAGTACTGAGCAGACATCACCCATCCGCTGTGTGATAAGGTTGAAAGCTCCAGAACAAGATTGTTTAACCAACTGCTGTTTCCAAAGTAGTATTCAGTGGTTTATTCAACTGTACATCAATATAATACATGCTACCCGCAGATGATTTGGATATGACACCATTAGTAATTCCACCACAATGATAAAAAAGTGATATGACTTCATTAACTAATGCTGCCTTGTTGGCTATTATTACAGCCACAGCGCACATCGAAGCATTAAGCAAAGCTTTAGCCGTCACTGAGTTCTTTACAGAGCTCTCTTTGTCTCCCTGCAGTGCCAATCAAGGAAACTCAGAAGAAACACTTCTGAGGCTTCATCAGCACTGCTAGAGAGGACAGGCATTTGAGTAATGCTGTTTTTCATGCAGTGTACAAAAGTATTCAGGGTCATTGTTTTGAAACCCTTGTGTAAAACTCTCAACTGAAAGAAAGAGTGCATTGCTTGACTCATTTAAAATACAACTGAATTTGGACACGTGAATCAACAGGGAACTATCTCAGTTACAGATCAGTTAGAAAGCAACACCTATCTACGTTATCTATGTTAGTTAATGTTTGCTAACATTAGCCATAAGATACCAGATCAGATAGTCATATTAGATCAAGTAAGGCTGTTGCAGAAAAAAGTGTGTTGAAGCAATTGAAGCAAATTTTTGCTTACGAATCATTTGTAAGAGAAAGTGTTATTTCTTGTTGAAGTCTTGTTGAAGTTGCACTTGTCCACTTTCTTGCTGAGACTTTAATGAGAAGCTCAATACATCTCATGTGTGTAATTATGAAGTTAGTTAGCTCATCTTAGCATAAAGACTGGAATTGGGGAGAAACAGCCAGCCTGACTCTGTTCACACAGTCCACCAGATCTAACTAATTAACATGTTATGTCTTGGTGTGGAAACAACATTCATGGAGGGTTATATGTAGGACTACAGGCACAGGAAGTTACTGCGACCACCTGGGTGGTAGCTTCATATTTGTCCTATAGAAATGAGAGTGGTTTTGATCTTCTCATCCAACTTTCACCATGAAAGTGAATAAGGAAATTACACAATAAAAAGCAAAAACTTTTAAACCTTTAGTTAGAATACTCACGTTTGACATCTGGTATATTGTGAATGGCTACTTTCCTGTGTAAAGCTTATGAAAGCCATTACCATTTGCAGTCTTTATTGGATGTGATTTAAACTGCTGTAAAGTTCTCTACTTTGCCTTATATGGAAAAGAGGAAAACTGGATAAAAGATTGTGGTAATAAACTTCCTCTGGAATTTGAAAAATGTCTCTGTCTCTCTACAAAGCTTGGTAAAGTGGATAGAGGATGGCGTCCCAGAGGATCCCTTCCTGAACCCGGAGCTGATGAAGAACAACCCGTGGGTGGAGAAAGGAAAGTGCATCCTTCTCTAGAGGAAACCAACTACCCTGCCATGACCTTTCAACTTTTACCGCCCCCGAGCAACACACACCTTCAGATGACCCCTGAACCTGACCCGGCCTGTGAAGGCCACGTCAGGACAGCACCTCCTAACTTCTCACCGTGAATGTACAACCGCTGATATCCCCCTACTTCCCCTGAAAACACACCCCAACAAAGGCACAGAAACACACACTGACAGAGACACACACTCGCACACTATCACTCTAAACTTTGGGTTTTTCCCTGACTGCCACACTTTTATTGCAAGTTTATTCCTGCCACAGCAATGCATCATTACTATGATACATGACGACGATGATCAATACTTCTATTACATGTCTCTATATGGATACATGATGACTTATTTATGCAGCTGCCAGTCCCGAGCTTTCTCTCCTCTTCTACAATCTCTCCTCTTCATTGTGAGCTCAGCAGTTTCCCCCCCCAGTTTTGATGAGTTGTAATAAACTGTAGAGTCACATTCTCACTGGCAGACTGACTGTAGATCTGCTTGGAGAATTTTGCTCCACATGGAGATTCTGTAAAACCACTTGCTCTTACAAAATTATCACCTAAACCTAAAAGACGTATACGCCAATGATTTGCTTACAGACTATGGTTTTAACATTTCTCCCAAGTCACAAATCAGCTTTTAAACACACGTAAGACCTACAGTACATGCAAAGGAGATTAGAACTCATGACTGTAGTATGTATGATCATGTGTATTTGCTTTCTAGCTTAAACCAGACTATGTTCAATTTTACGTACATTATGCGACATATATGCATCTCCATTGGCCAGATCACAAATTGGTTTGCAATCTTTCTTGGATCGGATCCACCCAAGAGTATAAATGGTGTCTTTATCCGCATTCCAAGTATTTCCCATCCAACATGAGGGCAGTTGTAATACATTGTATGATTACACTGCTAGGCATTATAAATCTTTATGGTGCATTTACAAATTCGAAACATTACATTTCAAACCTAATTAACAAACTATGCCACTGTTAACAGATCAGATAAAAAGACGAATTCCAAGAATTTGTAATGTGGAAGCTTATTAATTCTCTAAAGGCGTCGCTATGCTTAAAACGAACTAAACCGTGTCGGACACAGTGTTGGGAGCCATTACACGAAAGAAAGAACACACATGAATCAAGAAAAGCCGTGCTTTCAGCTTTCACGGCACGGCAGTGTGACTCCAACAGTTTTCATATATAGTTTTAAGTTCACACAACTTGCATGCCTATCACACACACATTCTGAAGAAGAGAGCCGCACGCAGCGTTGTCTTGCTTCAGTATCATCACGTCAGGAAGTTTTGTCACAGAAGAATGAAGCTATGGAGTGCCCACTCATGTACAGACAGACACCTTTAACTTATTAACTTATTGATGCATATACTCGGTTTATTTATTTATTTATTGATGAAACCTTTCTCTCACCTTAGATTTGTTTCCTGTGTCTGCACTCCCTCGACCTCATTCCCCCACTTAAAAGAAACAACAGAAAACCACCACAAAAAAAAAAGAGACTACACCTTGCAAGATCACCATCTACTACTGCCTTGTACACAGTTTCCTTAAAACAAGAATGTAAATATGAGGCATGATCACAGCTGACCTCAGAACTGGCCACCGTGTGAGTGCATGTGGCTGTAATTGTGTGTTTATGTGTGCATATGTATAAAGAAAAAGAAATAACAAAGAGGGGAACATCAATTTGGACTTTAGGCTCCCTTGTGGATTGTGAGGCGCACACATGCCGATGTGTCACACACACAGACAGGCCTGAGGCCGAGCAGATCAACAACACACACACACACACACACACACACACACACACACACACACACACACATCATAGAGTATGGTCTAGACCTGCTCTTTTATGAAAAGCGCTGTGAGATAACTATTGTTGTGATTTGGCGCTATATAAATAAAATTGAATTGAATTGAATTGAAACACACACACACACACACACACACATACATACTGCTTAGTGAGAATGTGTATGAAGGGAGGAGTGGCAAGGATGTGGGATTCTCTAAATGGCTTGGGACAGGGGAGCCTCACATCATCTCAGTACTGTAATGAGTCTTATTATATAGGTTTTCTTCAAAACGAACAAGTTCCCTAAAAGCTACTCAGTGCTTAATTGTCTTTGGTCCTAATATATGTAACTGCAGATATTTAATTTAGCTCTTTTTTAAAAACTTAATTTAAACATTTACATGGTCCATGACACGCTAATAAATTATTTGTTTATCAAACACGCTGCCATCTATCTTAGAACTGCACTTCTTACTTCCTGTACGACATGTCTGGACAAAGATTCGATAAAATCACACGGACATGTTTCAGATTTATAAAATACATCTGCTGAACAAAATAACAACTGCAAATGTAAAATTGTATCCCTGTAAGTGAAGTGAGGCCAGTGAATTTAGGATGTCCAGTGCAACGATAAGAATATATGCAACATGGCGAGCCATTTTAGAAGTCCCATTGTTCACTGAGACGCATGTACATTATGTACCTTCCTTATATTGGACATTACGTTTTATTTTATTTAAATAGTTTAGGTGTTGGAAATTACAATATATGTTAACTAGCTGAGAAAATTATGCTAAAGCTTTGCTTTAAAATATAGCCTTGTAATTTCATGATAAATGCATGGAGGGGGACTGTTAAAATGGCTTCCACTGTACAAAAACTGATGTTCTGAGCTTCAGGTTTGTAGCTTTTCCAGTGTTAGGCTTAAGTTTATTACCTCTTCCAACATGATTTTAGGATTCAAGGTTTACAACTGTTTTCAAGCTCTTACAACACTACTGGAAAAGCAACAAATGGCGTCCGCTACAGTATCACAGTGGCCTAGCTCCAAAAGTACGTGAGAGGATTCCTGAGTCTTCCTGTCCCTTGTCTGTAACTGTAACTTTTATTGTTTGGTTTGTTTTTATATAATCTGAACGTGCGTACGTATGTTATTACTATTATAATGACAGCATAAAATCTTGTCTAAATATCTAGCAACATATTCCTTGTGAGAGTGCTTTGGAAAAATTATTATGCATCAAATCAAGTCAAGTGTAAAAGTGACAATGAGCAATAAATTAAAGATCATTTTTTATTGAATGTTTTACAAAAACATTTATCTTATTGAATAAAGTAGAACATTTTTAGACAACTTGGTTCTCTTGGTTGGTGTTTTGTGTGTACATGTGTATAATATAATGTAATAATATTTTAAACTGCAAATCTACAGTAAGAGTGGCCTGGTTATTGAAATACTGTAGGTGTGGTGCTCACTGACAACTGGCATTGAGAATTGGGATGGCTTCTTGTGCCAGAGCCAGAAACAGAAACAGTGACACAAAAATGACAACATTGATTGGATGAGATCAACACAGCTCTACAGGTTGAAAAACTGAAAAAGCGACTCTTTAATTGACATTTTCCTTTAATTGTTGTGAAAAAAAAACAAAACAGTAACGCGGCTGTTGATTGAAAATGACACCAGCAGGGCAGATACTTCCAACTGAATGGCTAGGATAAAAAACAAACAAATTATAACCCCATCTCCAAACCAAAAATTGTCTAACATGAACATGATGTCAGACAACAAATATACTCCACCCAAAATCAATCCAATACCCGACCCCTGCAGTTTACAAAGGAGGCTGGTTAAGGTCGGTCGTTTTCTCCATCATAGAAAACAGCAACCTGGCTAAATACACACTCTTAAACAAATGGTAAAATAGGAACATTTGTTAAATTATCAAATGTTCATATTTATGGCCATATTAGCATTCATGGTCACGATCTTGGAAAGTCAGCTGGTTATCTAACTTACAGCCAACTAGCTATAGGCTGTTTGAGTTTTTCAGGCAGTAGAATACTAGCCTACACATTCTTAGCATCTGTTCCTGCCTCCCGCCTTTTTGCTGGCCTTCAATGTGTTTCTTAGCCAGAGAAACTGCAGTTCTGTGGCTCTGAGCAGCTCTGCCTCTGGGATATATGCAAAACTCTTTAAGTTCAAATCTGCAAGAGAGAGAGAGAGAAAATGAATGATGGCCTGAGAGAAAATAAAAAAAGACTGAAAGATCGGCAGTAGAGACATGGGCGGCAGCTGGTCCTATAGAAGGCGACACTCAAGGGAAAGATGGAAAGCTACAATCTCTTCTCTTCCTTCCCCTCCACTCCTCCTTGTAACTCATGAATAATAGAAAACAGGCGATATTAGAGGGCTCTCACTTTTTTCAGCCTCTCCGTGCCTCTCCTTCACCGTCCTTTTCTCTTATTCTACACCTCACCCCTCTTGCTTCTCTCCATATATTAATCCACAGTGTGCTGTGAGGGAAATTTATATAGCAACATAAACCAATGTGTACAACCATAACTAAATCGCCTGAACTTCTAGGGATTACAGCATACTGCATAACTCACTCTCTTACAGTGAGCCATACACAACTTGTGAAAGAAGAAAAAACATATTCTCCCTCTTACAAATATAAAGTTAAATTAATAAGCAATAATTGCTCAATTCAATAAACACAGGAATTTTGCTGCTACAGCTTTACTTGGTCAGGTATGACCAATAGCTCAGTGTGGCTAATTTTAGCTAATACTTGCTAACTTTAGATAGATATTGTTGTATAACTGCCATTACTGAGTCAGTTTGCTGCCGTTATGACTCTTCTCTACTTGTGTTTTTCTATGCTATAAATTTGTACCATTATAGTGTCCTTGTGACTTGTGGCCACAGTGGCTATTGTTAGCAAAAGTTACATGATCCTACTTCACAAGACTTCAACACTGAGTTCACCAGTGTTAAGTGAGCACAAAAACGAACTTTATGATAAAAGCCCCCATACGGTGAATATTCTGAAAACATTTTACTACCAAAAAAAAAACTTAACTCAAGGGGCACTTACTTGCTTTTTTTGGAGCTTTGAACTGGATCTCACTGACAAACTTGGCAAACTGCAGTTTCCACAGTTAATAATGAACTTTCACTCTTCAACTATAACTTACTGTATTTTTTAGCTGATGCTAATTATTGTCTCTCTATTAACATTTTTATGTGCTGCTGTTTCTGTTCTATTTTCCAATGCATTTTTTTTCTATTTAGCTGGTTGGCAAACTGAGTCTATTTTAATAAAGAGTAATTTTGTAAAATATGCTTTCTAACTCAGCAAACAATCTTTCATCCTCTTTGATTTTTTTCTCTTCTTTCACCTTCCCCCCCTCCTCTCCCTTACAATGCTTCATACTCTGTGTGTCAAGTGAAGCAACATTATCTGACGTCTTAGCTAGTAAAAACAAATGCAGGGACATGTATTTGGCGACTGTGTTGGCAAATCTTGAAAACTTTGGAGAATGATGTGGCGAACAAAATGCAACCAATCCTCCAATATTTCTGAAACTCATGTTTTAAATTAAAATTTAAAACTGTGGCATGTGATTTGTTTGGGGAACTTCAGAACTTGAAACAGAGCCACAGTACCCCTTGTTCATAAAATGATGCAGACACCTTTGGGTGGCTAAGAATGGCATTTCAGCTTTCACTCATTGCACAGATATTCATATGTTTTCGACACCGGCATGTTAATTCAGAGTCAAATTGTTTGTTAGGTGTATTTTGAATAACAGGAAGAGGAGACGGTGGGACAGCTGACTCTTGCTCAGGGTGTGTCTGCCTGCTTTTTATGGGTCAGCTCCCCTCAATCCCTTCGACACACACTGACACACACATGCACTTACTAATGCACTCAATCCCCCTCACCCTTTACTACTAAATCCTCACCCCCATTGTCCCTTTCCCCCTGAAATCCTCAAACCATCAGCTCTCCTCCACACACACACACACACACACACACACACACACACACCACCCCTCTCCTCACTCTGTTTCCCAAGTCTGTCTGCAGTCAGGGCTAATGCACTGGTTAATGGCCCTCTAACCCCCATTCACTCTCAGATTACACTCTCGCGCACATGGGAATAGACACAAACGTGCATACCAGTCTCCAATCTCCGCATGCACGTGTACATTCACACATAGAAAACAGGCGCTAATGGCCTGTAGGTCCTCAGCATGTACATTCACGAGTGGATTAGGATTAACAATCTAACCGCAACACCACTACACACAGACACACACAAACATACAGTATACAAAGAAAACCAGAACCAATCTCTAATGCACATTGGTAATCTCTCTCTCTCTCTCTCTTTCTCTCTCTCTCTCGCTCACCCTCCACACACACCAGGCCGACTGCTCTGTGTGCTGCTGAGGTCACCAGATGTCATCTAATCTAAAAGCTTTAATCCACCCTTTCGGGGACCTTCTCTCTCTCCCCCACTCTGCCATGAATGCACTGCGCTGTGTTTTAAACGGGTAAAGCACTGTGCGCAGAAACTGCGCATAACAATTACATATTGTTCACTAGTTAGTCTCAGACATGTAAAAGCACCCTTGAGATAGCATAAAAACAAGTCTTGTAGGTTTACGATAAAAAGATGAATTGTCAACATCAAGGCTTCAGTATGCTTCAAAAGAACTAGTTTATACTAAAGGCAAAAGGGATTATATGTGCTTCGAACGGTCAACACTCAAAGGCGGGGCAACAAAAAAGAAACAACGTAGCAGTGAGGGGAGAGAGGCTATGAATTGTACAAAGGAGGATGTTTGACACTTCCAGACAGTCTGTCCTTGAAGGCATTTAGTATGTTGCTCAATGTGACCGGACAAATTATGTGAAAAATGAAAAAACAAAACAAAAACCGACAACTAACCTGTCACCTTTTAGCCCTTTTCAACTTTTCTGCATGAAATGGGTATGCTTGGATTAAAAGGATTACTAAATTGTCGGACACAGCCCCTAAGGGACCACTACAACCTGCAAAGCGAGAGTCAAATGGTAGAATGAGACAGACAGGTGCCATCAGCCAGCTTCGTTTTGGAAGCATGGCTAGCTTGTTTACTTGGATTGTAAGATGGTGTTTATACAGCACAAATATATATGTAGAATTTTTACCTAATTAGTTTTGACAAAAAAGTACTCTGTCACAATGAGTCAAAAGTAATAAATGCAAATCAATGTGCAACAATCCATTCCTTTTTTATATATGAAAATTAGAGTTCAAGAGAGGAGTTTGTTGTGCTGGAGTAACGTTAGCTTAAATTTGACAGGTGCAATTGCCCCGAAGGAATCATTTCATTCGGACCAAATGAAATCACTGGCTGTGCTTACTGCAGTCCTGCGACAGCTACAGATACAGGATTTATTTTTGTGCCAGAGCATTTGATTAATTGCTGTCAGGATGTAAAGGGAATTTCAATACATATAACAAAAATGCTTCTGAAATAAGTTGCCTACTGCAGCTTTAAGGTTATCGAGCATGTTTAAGGGTTGTCAGAGATAGAGAGTCACAGCGTTGTTTAACAGCAAACAGGTCAAATTCAAGGAACATCCACACATCTCAATATAAAAATTAAAAACAAAGTTAAATCGAAGTGGCTGTTTTAGATTAGAATTTCCGTAGCCTAACGACTTTGACTGCTTACGTTATATTGCATGAGTCTCGTTAGTGGTAATATATCTATGCACCTAAAGCAGTACTCACAGTATCAAACTACAGAGCTCAAATCATAAAGTGTGCATAAATGACATGATGTTGTTTGTATTTAAAATGATAATGAAATGCTAGTGTGTTGCCCTAAGTAAGCCCTACTTCATACTAATGTGAATCATGTTTAGACTAGGTTCACATGGGAAAATGTTACAATATAAAGTGTTTTTAAAGATCAGCATAGACCTTGAATTCACTTTACATATTCAGTCTGAACACCTCTTTTGGTATAAGCTAAGGAAAATGTAATGGGGTGCCATGCTATCATGAAATAGTTGTTTTATAAATAGTTAATTATCTTGTTTTTCATTTTAGGTTTTCATAGTAGTTTCATAGCGGCTTTGAAGGCATCCCTGTGTGTCACTGCTTTATACAAGTAACATAAAAAGCTCAACAAGAAGTTTGTTTTCTCTCTTACATGTAGGCTATTTTGGGCATTCATAAACATTCTGTCTCTCCGTCTCTCTAACTTCCTTAACTCAAAGTATTTACTGTCTGTCCGCCTTAGGTTTCTCAAAAGATATGACATGAGCGCTCTACCTGTCTCCCTGCCTGGTCCTACAGATCACTGAGCTGATCCACTAATTGGAGCAGTGCATTCTCTCGT